GGATACCTATTGCAATGGACTTGGCGTCGAGACGAACGTAGCCCTGTGTCGTGTCGATAAGGACATGACTCTTTGGAATTCCAATGCACGGTGGGACCCCGTGACTTTAGCCTTGAGAATCAAGTGACGTTTGATTACGTGTGTACGCGTTAGCTGCATGCCGCTCGCGTAAGAATCCTTCGCTGCCGAGATTATTGGCTGAAGGAGAGACTCGGCCGTAAAGGGAGACGAAAAGAAGAAATAATTATTAGCGTCAACAAATTTCGAAACTCACTCGCGATTTAGCGTTAATCCAGAGGTATCGTTCGCGTGGGATATCATTTCGATGCTGTGTATATATGTATATATTATTTGAGACTGAATTTTTCACCAACGAAACGGAAAGTAGACACGGTAGATGTAACCGACGTGGCCAGTAGCCTCGGTAGCAGGTTGGTTAACGAACGTATTTCCGTCTCTTCGTCTCCTCAGTACCTACGTACAATAGCATACAGTCACGCAGGCAGATACAAAGTGGTAGAAGCCTAAACCCATTGAAATACATACCGAGCAAAGATTGACCTTGCGAACCGGCATCAGCGAGCTAGTCAGCCGGTCAGCCAGCCAGCCAGCCAGCCAGCCAGCCAGCCAGCCAGCCAGCCAGCCAGCTTAGTCCCCCCGGCCAAGTTAAACTCCAGAAGACCAAGGACGATGAAAAGCAATACATCAGAAGCTAATTGCAGGTTACATAGAAGCACCGTGACTGTACACAACGCGGTACAATTGCGGTTCTCAGTCATTCAATTGGTTCCTTCATTCCAACTGGCGTGAGCATCCAGCTGTCCCGAATGAGGCCTGGACGGTAGGAGTTAGATCGGGACTAAGTTCAGCGTGCATCGTAATGCGATGGAAAGATGGTAAAGGTAAAAATCAAAGGAGAGAGAGAGAGAGAGAGAGAGAGAGAGAGAGAGAGAGAGAGAGAGGCCACAATCATCCATCTAATCTACTTAGCGTCTCCATTAGACCACGCGCACACGGTGACTTGGTAATGAGCATGCCAAGAGATCCACACACGCATCCGGAGGAGCGCGAATAATACAGGCACATTCGCACCGTGCAAAAAGCAGAAAGCAATCAAGAGAGGCCCGATATGGCGAGTAAGGTCAGGGTGCGGGGCCCAGCCAAGAACGAGGAATGCCATTACCCGATCTACGCATGCACCCGACACGCATGATTCTGCGTTTCGTAGCGCGGCCAATTCTCTCTCTCTCTCTCTCTCTCTCTCTCTCTCTCTCTCTCTCTCTCTCTTTCGCGAGGAGTGGCCATTTCGATTCCATCTCCCAAGATGAACTCGCCCCATGTACATTTCTTAAGAAATATAATATTCCTCGTGCCGTCTCGCACGCCGCGCACGTGAATTCTCACGTCTCACTTACTTCTATCACCTTAATGATCTCGGAGATCATCTATCGGCCATGGAGGAGGAATTCAGATGAATACGCGATAACGGTAGTGGCGATCGATCATCGAGAAGAATTCACGCATCCGATGGTCTCGTATCGATCCTCCAGCAGCCTAATCCTTCGAATGGATGCTGCACGGGTGATCAGGGTGGGCGATGAAAATTTCAATATTTCCTTGGTAAATAAACAAAAATGCCTTCTCGCTTACTTCAAGGCGAATTAAGGCGAACTCGCCCGATCGTGCGTTTCGAGCGATGCGCAACGGGCTACCCGAGAGTGCCTGGTGCATCGCAATGCAATGGCAATGCAGCCAGCATAAAACAAGCTGCCATACATGGGGCGACCGTCAGCCGACTCCGGGTTATAGCAGGAGCCGGGGCTGTGTGAGAGAGCCTGGCCCCGTCGGTGGGACCAGGTTCCTCGTGTACACGAGGAGTCCGGACCTCAATAAGCGGAGCCGATGCTGCCCGGCTTCGAGCCTGATCACGCGAAAATAACCATCTCCGTCGAGGTGGATGTCCTAGGTGCAGGGGGGGCCTTTTTAAAAGAGCAACAAGAGGAACGAAGGAACCGGACCGGGACGAGAGATCTATTCCTCTATTCATTCCTCCTTCACGACCTGACTCGGGTGTCGTGCCATTTGTCAGGAAGCCGACAAATCGGACGAGGAAGAACGAAGGTCGCAGCACGTGATCCGTCCTGGACCGAGAATCGATCGATGAAAATGATCAAATCCTAAGCTCGTTTTAGGCGACGAATCACAAGGGGATCAGCTTGCTGTCGAGCCCAGCGGTCATTTGGCATTCGAGATTTACGACGGAGCAACTTTTCTCCTTCGTCATCTCTGCCGGTGATCTCTCGAGTCGTAAGGTCCTGGAGATGAGGTCGTACCGCACGGACACGCCAGGGGTTTGCGTCCTCGTGACGAACATCTGGTTGCAACTAGACCGAGGAAGTCCGTTCTGTCCAGTGACCCGAGACCCGTCAACTCACTTTCCTCACGCTTTTTCTTTCTCCTGTTCATCTCATTCTCACTCTTCTCTGCCTTCTTCTTCCTCTTCTTCTCCTCCGGCACCTCTTTAACGAGCGTCAAATAGGAAAGCACAGGGACGAGGCGATCAGCCTTGAAGCAAGTACCCTACGAGAGCCTGATGAGAATACAGCTCCAGTACCTTTCTCTAATTGCCACCAGGAGTGATCCGTACCTACCTGGAGCATCATCGCGAAGAATAAAGTTACACTGATATTTGTGCCGTAACAAATAATATTACCCGTAAAAAAAAAAATCCAATTTCAAAATCAATAAAAATGAGCGCAATTACTCTGATTGTACAAGACTCACGCATGTCTAATGTAAATGAGCAATGCGAATTCTTCGATGATCAAGACCAATCGAGACAACGGTCCAGGCCTATGCACCCTAAACTTCCAACTGAACTCTGATCCACGTATTTGCCCAGCAACTATTGTTCCCCGTTAACGGGGCCCGCGAGAGAACTTCCTTGTTCCAGGCTGTTCCAGGCTGTTTCAGGGCCCCCGACTAGTCTTTCCTTGTCCGTCCATTATCGTGATCGTTGTCTTAATGTCTCCGGGGTCAAAGCTCACCCGATCCAGATTAAGAGCGTCCATTCGGGCTTGGTCTTTGTTGTTTATAGCCCCGCTGGAGGCCTGACTCTCCGATGTAGGTATTAAGTAACATTTGCTTTCACTGTCGCCTACACGCCCGTTAAATTCCTATCGGCTTCCAAACTCGACGTACAATCATTTTACACCGTGAAGTCCGTGACCTGTTCTACATGTCATACCAACATTACACATTTCTCCTGTTCCCCGTAACGCATACACGCTCACGGGCTAAAACGCAATACTGTCTGCAGTCGTTTCACGAGTAAAAAAAACCTGTCTGGGGGACTCTTTTCCCTTAGAAGTCATAGGTAGGCAGTCACCTCAAGAAGCTAGTTTACTCGTGACCGTAACGACTGATTCGAAGTAACACCGCCATAATAATGGTATATCGCCGTAGTCAAATTTCGAGCACTGTACTATACGGCCTAACAAAGAGTCACGGGAATTGAGCAACTCTGCAATCGAATTTCTGCATCTCCTCGCGACCTTCCTGCGGGTAGCTACCGTTTCGAGCCAAAGTCATAAAAATCTTACGTTACCAGCTCCGGGATACACTGTCCTCATTTCTCCAGACGGAACGGCAGTACCTACGTACGAACCTTCATTTATCAACCTACGTGCACCCGGGCGATCTATCCTTATTGTCAATGGTACCAACAACCTACAGATACAATAAACAGCATCGTAATCGATCGGTGATCCAGTATAAGAATTGCCACGTAATAACGGCGACACAATACACGGTGACTCGATAGTAAATCATCGATCCACCTTAGATCGGCCTATTTCGTACCAGAGGGTCAACCTCAAGGATATACGATCGATAGATCAATCGGATCGCAATTTAGTCGACAATCGAAACCAATCAGTAGGTACGCCCTTTTATATACGTATATATGTATGTATCGTAGGACCTCAATGGTACTCGGATTAAAAACGGCAAACAACGAATAAGGATTCACGACCTTGAACAGGACAACAACAGACAACCTTGAATTTAGCAGAGCGGAAACGCCGCCATATTGCTAATTACTTTCTCCCATCCGAGCACAAAGACCCGCGCCCAGGCGAATAGGTGCGAACTTGTCGTTGCGGTTATATGCAGCCCATGACGCAACCATAACCTACATCCGTACCCGTTTATTCAGGACTTACTGTCTTTCCAAGTTAATAATTCTGGCACGCGTTACATATGCTCGACCCGTGATTTACGTCAATGAGGTCTGATAGTAATTGAAGAAAAAAGTTAAAAGAAATCCAATGCTCGGTCGACTTTTTCCTGTAAACAAGTAACGACCTACCTGGACGAGAAACTGTGTGGAAAATTGCAAAAGCACTCTCCAAGATCTTCCGTATAGTAACTGGAGCATGGTCCGAGGCATCCGTGGAGCACGCGCGAGTAGAGTGCGTGAAGGAAGCGTAGAAAGAAAAATGTACGACATATTAAACGGGGGAGGCGACCGAGCGAGACAAAGGTAATTAAAAATTAATCGCTAGCTTTCAGTTACAGCAAACGATCAATAATAACGTATACTGACGTTCGAAAGTAGATTTTCAAATGAAATTGTAATTACGTGAAAAAAATCGTAGGCTAATCCAACCTAACAAAAGCTTTTATCGTTGTAGTAGTTAATTAGCAAAAGCGTGATATATTTTACTAATCGACTCTCTAAATGACTCCATAAATCTTGTAAATTTGGTTGAAACGATTAATTTTACGATATTGCTGAGTAACGTGTCACTCTGTACCGACAATGCCGTACGGTGATTTTTAGTAGGACGAAACGCCACCAGGGTGTACGGTTTCGCCGAGGGCACGGTCGGTACATACAGGTCTTGCAACTCCCTTGGAGGGGGTAGTCTTCTTTTAGAAGCATTTTTCCTATTTCTCTCTCCCGCAGCCGATTGTAAAGTGAGACAGATACGGGGTCGCTCGATCACAGCGACGCTTGTGACTAAAATTTAAAATGTGCCGTGCTTCAAAACCACGTCTACCCCCACCGCTGACAATTGGGCGAGTTGCAAGGCCTGCATGTAAGACCGTGTCCGAGGGTGTATCGTCAAGCCAGAGAACAATGGAGCAGTGTACTGGGTTACGATACAGAAGGTAGGCACGGCACGGTAGACATAACAGAAGAGAATAGAAACACAGCACGGCGCGGCATGTCACGAATGTTCTGCCTCGCCGGCTCCTAGTAGAATGCGGTTGACATTTCTCGGCAAGTAGAGCGTTACCCGCTCGACCAATCACAGTGCCCGATTAGAATATGGAATATTGAAATAAGTGTCGTGCGCGTAACTCCGTTGCGAACGATGAAAAGTGAGATCGGTATAAAAAGGTAGGGCAGACTGCGGCATGAATGAGAGAAGAAAGTATAATGGAGGGACGAAATATGTCGGTAAGTAAATACGTTAAGAAGAAAATATAATTTGAATTTCGCTTCACGTCAAGATCAACGGTCTCCTACCGGGGCGTTCGTCATTGAAATGCCAGTGCGTCGTCTTCTGTGGTATAATAAGACTCGTGATGATTAATTCAATAGAAATAATCGCGATGACTATACTCGTCCGTGGATATACAGGAGAATAATTATCTGCGTAGTCAGCCAATGAGGCTTCTAGACGACTGCGACGTTATGCTGACCCAGTTATGCGAGTTTGAATGTTATCTAGTCTCGGCATCGGGAGCAATTCACCATCGACAAAAGTGGCCTAAAGAGCTGAATGGGCGATCGGAGTCTTCCGCGATGCGTTAACACTCGAGAGCCTTGAGTGTTTCTTGCCTTTTCCTTTTTTATTTATCCCGTGGGAATCTTTACAGCCGCCGTAGAATTCCCCATTCATGTAGATTTATTTCATTTCGAGATATTTTGCTTTCTCCCGCGGAGTCTCTTCTACCGTGCTACGGCTAGAAGATAAATCTCCTCGAATTGGGACAGTCTGAAAGTGGAGTAACGGTATCCGAGTAGTTGAGACGGTTTGGTCAATTTCCCTGAAATTTTACTTACTTATGAATTATAAGCGACACGCATCACTCGGTATAACTGACAGATTTAACCATAGCGAATTTTGATCAGGATTCCCTGCAGTCGGCCAATTACTTTTTCTTGTACTCGGCTGTAGTTGGCAAATAATTAAAAACACGCGTATCAGGATTTCGTACGAGAGTGAAAATTGTTTGTTTGCTTGTTTTTTTTTTTTCACCAAGCAAAACCCGGTCACGCGTACCGATTCGAGAATAATTTTCTATCGCTACGTTCTACAGTCACCCAGAGACGCACGTAGATCCCGTTACGCGAACCTGACGCCCAACCAGATACAACAGGTCTCTGCGTGTCGGTAGGTGGAGATATTTTTGAAATCGCTCGAAATCGTCAACAAATTCCCATCTAGCTGCTCGTGGAATTTCGTTACTAATACGACGAGTATTTTTATTAGAATCGTAAATACGTGAAAGTGTGTCACATTGACCTGAACGGGACCCTAACTGATTGCGCAAGGTATTTTCACGGTTTAAAGGCAGTCACTCATATAACGGATAGAGTCAAGTAGTCTCATACCGCGCCCTTGACAGAGATACCAACGTACGTCCAAAAAAAAAAAACCCACAAAAATTAATCTTCCCTTAAATCAAAGAAAAAAAAAAAAAAAACTCAAATTAGTTTCCATAAAAAACAAAAAAAAAAGTATTTTCAAAGAAGATTCACCCTTTCCATCGATCCGCACGAGTAATGCAGCGTGCCGAGTAATTCCAAAGTATTAGCAATGATAATATCTCCCGTCCCAGACATAACTCTCGGTTTCGCAATCCGACACGAATTCTTGAATTGAAAATTGCGGCATTACCATGTCCAATCGAAGTGTTCGACGTCGAGCTAGAAAGTGTGAACCATTGCAATGCAACAGGAATGTCAATCGGTATCGGCTGTGGCCAGTATCTAAATAAATATCTGTAATTTGGCGAAAGGACCTAAAGCCGTCTTCCCCGTCGCACGATATGAACCAGCCATTACGCGACGAAAAGTCATAGCTCGGGCGTCAGCCTCGGGCCGAGCCAATGAACTGCGACGTAAATTTGCAATTGGTCGGCGCGAGCGAGCGAGCCAACGAAGAAGCAAAATCATTTCACCGAACGACGCTCGTCGTTCGACTTACCTCGGCTCAAATCCAAATGACCATCCGCCGTTCCTCGGGATCATCCTCGGCAAGCCAAGTAGCCAAAGACGCCTTCGTCACACGCGACCACGTCGGTAAGTCTTCCCATAACTAACAAACCATGCCTAAGGCCGTCCTCCTCCATCCACGGCTAAAGCTAATTTGTACTTCGATATCCAGAATGGCTGCCAGGCCTCTTGCTAGTCTAGTAGGTTCTTCTAGGTTCCGAGAAGCGGAAGGTTACACCTCCGTGGGCAGACCGGCCTGTCGGCTGACTGGGTCGAGCCTTCTCCCTACTTCACAGGGCTTCGCGCAGAAGAGCTTCGTCCTGACGCGATCAGCCACACAAGCGCCATTGAAAAGCCAGAGCCAAGATCGAAAGTACACGTATGAAGTCCAGCAAGAGAGATCAAACAATGACATCCAAGTCGACCTGGCTATTCTGGCGCAATGGTGCCCCCTAAAGGAGGATACAGGCAGAAGAAGAGTGCCGGGTGCGAACGTGGAATCCTGGGGCGCCCTCGAAATTCCAAACAAAGCAAAAGAGTAAAAGAGGGCGAAAGGGTAAGCATTGAGAAAATATGAGATAGAAGTAAAAGCAAGGAGGTTCGGCAAAGTGCCTGCCCCATCAAAGTACGTCCCTGACGTAGAGAAATCCCACAGTTACCTGTGTGCCGAGTCGTGAGAGCGAGAGAGAGAGAGAGTGAGACTGTAACTTCAGCGACAGAGGGGAAAGAGATAGAAATAGAGAGAGAGAGAGAGAGAGAGAGAGAGAGAGAGAGAGAGAGAGAGAGAGAGAGAGAGGTCCTGTCAGTGCCAATAGGTTTTGCGAATGTGTGCAAAATACTTTGTTTGGATAAAGCCCATTGAAAAGGGCTCGAAAAGAGCATGCCCGGATAATTAACCTCGGGGACGGATAAAGCTTCACGGTCGGACAAAGGGAACCTCAATATACCCCGATTCTAAAGAATCGTCTGGATACTCGAGCAGGGCGGAGTCATCGAATCCTTCGCCCCCTCTCTCCGTACCCCCCTCCTCCCTCCCGTCGCCGTCCACCCTCCCACATTTAGTGCCGGGAATGATCTTCAGTAAAATATGGAAAAAAAATAAGGAGCAATGACATGGATGGAGAGCGAGAGAGAAAGCGAGAAAAGAAAACAGACGAGAAATGATGAAAACGGCATCTTAACAATCTATATAGCCGATACTATTTCCTGTACGCTGCTCCTATACCTAGGACGCACGCGTACGAAAGATCTATCCGTTTAATAACAGCATCCGAGACTTTTTGCCAATTGCCAATAGCTTCGCAGATTCTTTAACGAAAGCCCCATAAGCGTCTTGCCACTTCGCCAGCGTATCGACCTGGAATGAGATACGCAAGCTCGTATACGGTGGTATAACGAAGTGGCTCCTACCCAAGGATCCCGACCAATATACACACGGAAGATGAGCTTCGGGATTGCTCCGATGGACCACCTAGGTCTTCGTTTAAAATGGTGGGTTATTTATTACAACCCAGACAGACTCAGGCACATTCGGAATTCTTTACGACCTCGATGCCTTCTATTAAGGAAATCATTACTAGCCCCTCCCCCTTGGCCCGCCGTCCCATACCCATCATACTAATAAAATCGTCCGTATCAAGAAGTCACCGTTGTACTTCGTGCCCTACGTCACGGAGAACCCAGAGGGGTCTTGTCAGTAGATAAAATCAATACGATAGCCGCTTCGGGTGGATGCTGCGAATAGCACCCAGGAAATGGATCCTTCGATCGGACGTAGGGGCGATAGAGAATTTTGAGAAAAGGAACTTCCGGTATCTACCGATCGACAAAGACTTCGTCGTCGTGTCTTCCTCCTCGTCGGAGTGCGTGAGGTGCGTGAGGTGCGTGAGCTGCGTGAGCGGAGAAACTTTAAGTCGGCCGTAACGTAATCGCGAGTTCAGCTGCGTTTCACGGAGTTAATGGGGTCCGAAGTAAATCGGCCGAGTTATCAAAGCTTCACGTCCGCCCTGCAGTTTCTCCTGTTACCGGAAGAGTTCGACTTTTGTGCGCCACGCGGCGCTCCCGACGCTCCGTACGAGCGAGGCCGATGACGTACGGTGTGTATATATATATATTTTGGTCTGTTATCATAGGAATGATTAGAAATAAATTAAATCTAAAGAGACCCGGAAGAAGAGGATCCGATTTACACCGTTTAATGGTCCTACGTCCTGGACGGAATAATAATTAACTTTCTGATTAATAAGCATATCGTAAGTTTGGCCAAGCAACGCGTAACTCGGCACTCGGTAACGGCGCGATCGGTATGATAATTGCCGCAGTAAGTATTCTCGGATCGAATTGCCGTTCAAAGTCGATTCAGGCTTTGTTCCTTGGCTGCGTACAAGGAATTATTTAAGATCGGTACAAGAGCCATCTCTCGACGGAGATTCGTACTGGGGGAAAACCCTTCGTCATTAGAATTGTGCAATTTCAATTTGGCGAAATCCTTCACGCCTCCGAACGGCGGCTGTCAGTGTTTTTGCGAGTCGGAGAAAAAATAACCGCAGATTCCTCGTTAATATCGAGGACCAAGAGAGACGGATACCAATACCGATGAGACGTGACTTGTTCACGGGAATAATGGAAATCCTCGTTTTATTTATTTTCGAGAATTGTCTTTGATCCCTCTGTCATACGAAATTAGGGAGGCTCTGACACGACTGGGAACAGGGTAAACAAATAAATTTTCGTGTCGAGCATCCCCACTGTCGCCGACAAGACGTTGCGTGATTGATATGCAAATTATTTTTATTAATGTCGATTAGCCAAAAAAAAAAAAAAAAAAAAAGATCAATATCCATTCAACTGAATTCAAGGTACGGCCTTGACGCTTATTCAAATTCCAATGACATTTTCGCAAACAGTACCACCGACCTACCGCACGTTGTCAGCAGTGTCCAAGGAGCCGGCGCTCTTGCGTATGCTTATCAGAAAGTACGGACCAGTGCCGTAGCACGTAAAAGTATTAACGGGTACCGACGAGGGGGCCGAGTAAAATTTTGAAAAATTTTTCCCAAAGTACAATCTACTGCAAAGAGTCGATCGAGTGTCAGAGTGCATGCGACTGCATTCCTTAGAATTTTACGAATTAGCGAATTCGTATTCGAGAGGGTTCTGGAATCTGAGATTTGTCGAAAGTCAAAAAAAATTTTTTAACATTTGGCAATGAATGAGAAAAAATCTTTCTTCTTTAAGTCAACCGATACAAACATTCCCCGTGATGCTAACCTGTCAATAAAATTAAAAGACCCTGATTTTGTACCGTTCTCCTTAAATTGACCCACAGTAAAAACAAAGTGCCGCGACGGCCGTTACGAAAAAGTCGTCCGATGAAAAGGAACGGGTGCGACATCAGGGCCGAGAGAGATGAAGAAATCGATAACGCGTAAGTGATTTCATTGCACTTCACCTAACTGCGTTCCGGGCCGAAGCTATATCTAACCTTCCGTACTGCCGCCTACTGACGGGATGCCACAGTCCAACTAAACTTAATTCGATCGCATACGAGAAGCTCCGATCGAGCGTACGAGCCACTTCCAATAATGATTGATCGCCTTGCTGATAAGTATCGAGTAATCGCTTGAGCCATACGTCCATTTGCATTCGAGTGCTTTGGCATCCTTCGTCGAAGAAAAATTTTTAACACGACTTTCCACCGACTCCGATCAAGATCCATACTTTTTACAGACACTGTATTCGCGACTGTACCGCGCGCAATGCAATGGAATAAAATTGAAATCGACATAATAATTATTGCTAATCCGACGACCAATTAAATTCATAATAAATTACCAAAAAAAAAAAAAAAAAAAAAAAAAA